AAAAAAAAAAAAAAAAAAAAAAAAAAAAAAAAAAAAAAAAAAAAAAAAAAAAAAAAAAGTTTTGCGAAATCAAAACAGAAGAAGTATGTGCGCGTTTGGTAATACAAAAATTAAATACTTTTGTATTAATAAAAGCATTAAAACTTCATTCCTTTTCATTAAATATCTTTAGTAAAAGATAAGGGTAGAAATTCTATTTTGGGACTTCAAGGCTAAAAACATGCCAATGAATAATAATTAGATTTATACTTCAAAAGAGAAGTTATTTTAAGATCTTTCACTTCCATATAAGGAAATATTAAGCGATTTGCTATGAGTAATAAATAATTTTGATGAGGCGTAAGAATACACAGAAAAGGCAATAATGACTGGCCTCTTCACAACTTTTAATCATCCTATAAAACGCAGGAGCAATGTTTTTGCGTGTGCTTTTTTTTTGTTTATCATGCCTAAATAAAATCCGTCAGCTTAGACGGGATATGGGTCTCCCCCCATCTCCAGCTTGGAGGGGGCAGAGATGTATGCTTTCACCATCGCTACTAAATTAAAAAGATTATGCACAACATGGACTCGTTAATCATGCTGCTTTGACTACTAATTATCTAAAAAATATCGGTGTGGATCCACCGTTATTTCAAGTCACTCAGGATACTGTGGTTTGCGGAGGAAACTAGCTTAAAGGAGCCTGACTGCAAAGTAGAAATTTTCCCCATCAACAAACAACACCGTTATTTCAATGTAATACAAAAATTAAATACTTTTGTATTAATAAAAGCATTTAAAACTTCATTCGTTTTCATAAAATATCTTTGGTGAAGGATAAGGGTGGAAATTCTATTTTGGGACTTCAAGGCCAAAAACATGCCAATGAATAATAATTAGATTTATACTTCAAAAGAGAAGTTATTTTAAGATCTTTCACTTCCATATAAGGAAAGATTAAGCGATTTACTATGAGTAATAAATAATTTTGATGAGGCGTAAGAATACACAGAAGAGGCAATAATGACTGGCCTCTTCACAACTTTTAATCATCCTATAAAACGCAGGAGCAATGTTTTTGCGTGTGCTTTTTTTTGTTTATCATGCCTAAATAAAATCCGTCAGCTTAGACGGGATATGGGTCTCCCCTTATCTCCAGCTTGGAGGGGGCTGAGATGTATGCTTTTACCATCGCTACTAAATAAAAAAGATTATGCACAACATGGACTCGTTAATCATGCTGCTTTGACTACTAATTATCTAAAAAATATCGGTGTGGATCCACCGTTATTTCATATATATATATATATATATATATATATACATCAGTGTCATCATAGTGTCAATAACGGTAACGCACAGACAGAAGCAGACATATTTTTAGAAAAGAAAAAGAAGGAAAAACATGTATCTCTAACAATGTTTCAAAGAAATTTAACAAAAAATCTATATATATTATTTTGTCTGCAACACGAGGTGTCCAGTTCACATACAGATCTAATTTCAAGATAGGCACTGCGAATTATTTATTATATTTTGCTACGAGAGATTCGTTTGAAACAGATGTTGATGTTAAAATAAGACATCATATTTTCCGAAAATAACCAAATGTGTTATACATCTAGAAATTAGAAAAGTTCCTTTAAAAAAAGCTGTTGTTAATTGCTCGACACTTTACTCCATGTATGACGATAACATAAGGGTAGAAATATTTTGCGAAGTCGGAATTTATTTTAAACTAGATTCATTTTAAAACATGGACATTATAATTTCCAAACATTTTAAACTTAAGTCGAAACTTAAGTAAGTAAATAAATAAGACATAAAAAAAACTTATTCAGTCCAAAACATGCAAATTTCAAAGTATGTATAGCAACAAAATGAGGAGAACAATTTGTGAAATGTTAGCAATTTTTTATTCTCAAAGAGCGATTTATTTTAAACTGGTTTCATGATAAAATATGGGTGTTACATTTTTAGAAAATAAACATGTCTAAAAATATTTATAAAAAATTTGGGGTGAGGGCATCTTCGATCAAACCGCAACTCATATTGTCTAGCACATGATTAAAACTATCATTAAGAGAGAAAATTATGTTTGGGTTTTTTTCAAAATTTTTTGCACTGTGGCATTAATTTGAAATTAAAATATAGACGCTTTATTTTCTATATTGTTTTGGACATCATATTGTCCAAAACAAGCAAAGTCCTATACAAAAGCTGTGGTTTCTCAAGGGATAAGAGCGTTCGCCATCCAATAGGGTGAACCGGGATCGAAACCCAGAGATGGCAGGTGGATACGGATTCTGCACCTGTCTCGCCCCACCCATAGTGCTGACCTAAAATATCCTGAATGGTAGACAGATCATGGGTCAGAGCCCCCTTTGCCGTCAGGCTAACCGTGGGAAGGTTTCGTAGTTTTCCTTTGCCTGATATACAAATACTAATTAGTTCCATTAAAAAGTTCTCCACGAACGTAAATTTGTCGCCAAATACCCATTCCAAAATACCCATTAATATCTGGAAACATTAGGACGACAGCCAATAATTCATAGTTATTAAAAAATAGAGCGTTGCTCAAAAGTACAACGCGTTTTTATTGTTGAAAATTATTTTGAGAAAGTTGTATCATATCCTGTCTGTGTAATTTCAGTTTTTGGTTCAGCATTCTGTTTTGGTGAACAGAATCTATTTTGATGATCAGAATTAAATTTAACCATGTTGGAATTATTATTATTATTATTTTTAATAGTTAAGATTTTATGTGGCAGCAAAGCTTCTCCTCTCATGACTCGATATACTTCATACATAGAAATACATTGCATACTTTATGAATCAATAAAAAAATCACTCTTTTTGGTCATAAACTTGAGTTACCTTTCCAAATTACATCTTGTGTTAATTTTTACATACTCTGTATTTAACCGAATGTTAAAAACAACAAAACAACGTGTTTTAATTGCTGAAAAGTATTTTGGGAAAGTTGTACCCGGCCGTTTAATTTCTGTTTTTTTGTTTTGGTGAACATAATCTGTTTTGGTGATCAGAATTATCCTTAACCTTGTTGGGACTCTTTTCTTTTTTTAATATTTAAGATTTTATGTGGCAGCAAAGCTTCCCTTCTCATAACTTTATATACTGTTTCATACATAGAAATATATAGTATACTTTATGAATCAATAAACAATTCACGCTTTTTGGTTATAAACTTGAGTTATCTTTCAAAATTACTTCCTGTGTTAATTTTTAGACTCCCTATACTTAATCGAATGTTAAAAATATTTTTTTTATTTATTAAATATAGATGTTATTTGCATTAAGTTACATATATTGCTTCATGATGAAAGTTAAGTAATTTATGATTCCTGAACTTCTCAAGTCCGTAATATAGACAGAGACAGAAATTACGTTATAAACCGACCAAACTTTTGACTGCTTACTGAATTATAAGGAAGTCTTTTTCACATTATTGATAATATGAGGATTGAAATACCAAATTCTTAAATGAAAAAAAGTTATATTTAATTTGCCCACATATTAAATTTTACTGGTTTAAATAATCATCAGTATGAAAGGAAATTGGTGATATATTTCTGCAAATTTGTGCAAAAACAACAAGCGTCAGCATTTCAAAACGTTAGAAAATAGGTTTTTAAAAATTCTTTGAAAATGCTTCAACTATTGCAACGTTTTCGACCATTTCTTAGAATTCATGTAGTTGCTCTATGTGCTGATTGAAATTTTAAGCATTTTTAACTAATTTTGTAGCTTATCGCAGAACACTGACTTTACACGAGGAAAAACAATTCCGGTAAAATTACCACACTTGTATGGTAATGACAGGAAAAAAATAATTCTTATAATAAAACCAAAATATACGGTATTTAAACCAATCATTTGGTATTTTTTCTGTTTGTATAGTAACGGTTTTAAGAAATTTCGATTTTTAAAATTATATTTCTTATTAGAGCACATTTTGAAGAAATACTGGAAAGTGAATTCAGCCGAATAAATGTTTTTTATGCTATGCTCCAAGGTATCATGATGACACATTTACTGATGAACAAATGGTAATAAAACCATACTTTCCTATCAATTTTACCAAATGTCATTACCAAAGCGCTTCGATAAAAATTACAGTGCTTTTGGTGTTCTCATAGAGCCAGAAATACTGTAAATTTTACCATATTCCAGTAATGTTTAAGACACTTTTTTTTCTCTGTGTATGTACAATCTTATTTCTCAAATTAAGTTGATTTCTGTCCATATAAGTGAAGAAATAATTAAAACAAAATAAACACAGTTTTAATTTTATCATAAAAATAATAAAACATAAACACACAACAATATGAATCTTGACCACTTATAACACTAAAAAGGCAGCACCAACTTAAACAGAGTGTCTTGAATAAAAATGAATAAATATACGAAATTAAATTTCACACATCATAATTCAAAAATCATAAAATGATACGAATATGAATTATATATACATGAAGTTCAAGCTTTCTTCAATCAATTTTACTTTTGCTGTTTTGTTATTATTCTCAACTTTATGAAACACATTATTTCCTTGAATTTACATATTCAGCAAACTAATAGAGCTCAGTAATATGAACCAATTTTTTTTGCTCATTTCAAGGCACCTATTTTTATGTTTTCAAAAAATTAAATTCATGCGATTAAGATATATCTTAAACTCTACCAATTAATAGCAAATTTATTTTAGTGTTAAATTTTAGTGTTTATCTAATAGATTACAACACATATCCATCTAATAAATTTTTAAAAAAACAGTAAAAAGTCTTATGAAAGCTATAAATGGAGTGATTTTAACAGTTGTTCTATTGCATATTATTTTAAAACACAATATTCATATTAAAATCTGAAACACATAATTAGTAAATTTCTACAGTTTGCTAAAAATTCTTAAAAACATAATATTGAGCAAAATCAATAAACAAAACTACGGTTTATAATTCGACAAACTAAAACGTTTCAAAACCCAACAAAGCTCTTAAACCATAGAAATTAAAAAAAAGTATCACTCCCATAATAACCAGAAAGGGTGCTTAAGATTTTTACTCAGAACATAAAATTTAACAATAAATGGAACATTGAATTTAACATTCATGGCTTGATTTATTTACTTTAAAGAAAATATATAATTTTTTGTGTACCACATTTATTCGGACACATGAACAAAATACCTATTTTTCCTAATATCTCACAATCGTCATTAAATTGACATTAATCCTGTCGAATACTAAAAAGCTCAATTCGTTACACTTCCGTATGTTCGTCGGAGAGATTATAATTTTTAGCACAAATAGTTCTATTTTTTCCAGATGCTGAATGACGTACAATAGTTGGTGTATGACATGGCGAAGACATTTCGTCTTGTTGTTCTCTCTTAGACAAAATTAGGACAGTCACCGCAATGACAAACAACGATCCTACAACAGCAATAGATACGACAAGGAATGGCGCATTCTTATTTGTTTCTAGAACATCTGGTCGTCGTTCCAGTACTGCAGATTTTTTAATTATTTTTGTCTTTATTCCATAGTCTAAGACAAGTCTGTTCATGTTTGTTCCTTTGCCATTGACACCGATATCCAGATCTTTTGATATTACTGATGAACGCTTGCTTCTTGTTGACAATTCCTGATCAGATACACTGCGTTTTCCGATTCCCCTGGCAGCATTTTCCTTAGACCGCACAGTGTATATGCAGTGGACGAACCATTGTCTACCGTAAGATACCTAAAATCAAATTGAAATATTATTTGATATCTACACTGTAATAAATTCCGAAACAAAATTAATAATTCATTCATTTTAGATTAATCCGGATCATATAAATCAATACCGGATCAAATTCCGGGTAAAAGTACCGGGACTCGGGAAGCTGGTAATTTTAATCGTAATGTCCATTTTTACCGAAAACTGTTACAGAAGAAAAAATTTGACTTACCGGAAATTAGATTTTTTACTGTGATAACTGCCTTGAAATCACTGAATCATTCTTATCAAAAAATATTACTGGAAAAATTACAGTATAGTATTTTAAGATAAAAATGGATTTTAAATGCCGGTATTTCTTACCGTTATTTGATTCAGAATTTTCTGAAGTGTACACTGGATTAATAAATTAAAATATTTTTCTTATAATATGAAAGTGAACACTGAGGAGAAAAAGTATGGTCGAATCTGCCGGAATATGGTAATATGCATCGTGTTTTCTGCTGTATAGAAACATCAAAAAGCTCAACAATTTTTACCGAAACGCTTTGGTAAAACTAATAATAACATACAGTTTTGTAATATGTGATAAAATTTTGTAAATGTGGTAAAATGGCATAAAAACCATTTATATGGTTGAATTTACTTTTCTGCTCCGTAATAAGAACTATAATTTTGAAAACCAGAATTTCAAATACATCATTTCAGCATGAACGGAAAAAATACTAAATGAATGGTTTAAATAGCGTGCATTTTGCTTTATTAACCAGAAATATGCTTTTTATTTATTTATTTATTTTACCAGAAATGTTATTACTATACAAGCATCATCACTGCCATGCACCAAATGTCATTACTATTTACCAGAATTTTTTTCTGCCATTTAAGATTCCTCTAAAAAAATTAGAGGAAATATGCATTTATATTTTGCATGGCTTACAAACTATAGCTCTGCGGTAATTGGTCAAAAATATTAATAAGTTCATTCACAGTGGAGAGAAATAGCTTGCTCAAGATGCGAATTTTATACAAGAAATATAAGATTAAAATTCTGTTCGACTTACAAATTGTGAATTAATTGACTTAATACATAAGTAAAGAACACTAAATTAATACGAAATTATTCTAATTTTTTTATAAAAATAAATATAAATATGCTTTCATGTCATTTAAACTTTGGAAACTATCGTTTTGAAATAATTGACCAAAAATGTTGATTATTTATTCTCCAGTAATAAGGAATGATTCGTACTTATTGCTCTAGATTCGCATTTTAAATAAAAAACATAAGATGTTTTAATGTTTTTCTCAACTTACATATTACAGCATTANAAATTAGAAAAATTTAACAAAAAATTAAAAAAATGCTTTGAAATTTTAAAGAAAATGCCCTATAAATCTCAAAAAATGCTCTAAAGGACAAAGAATGTCCAAAAATGCGAAAAAATGCAAATGTCATCAAAATCCGGGCCTTAGTTATTACTATACATTACTATATCGTTTTGAAATAATTGACCAAAAATGTTGATTATTTATTCTCCAGTAATAAGGAATGATTCGTACTTATTGCTCTAGATTCGCATTTTAAATAAAAAACATAAGATGTTTTAATGTTTTTCTCAACTTACATATTATAGCATTACAATAAATGATCAAAACTATCAACAAATTATTAGAAAATAATAATTCATTTTTTGCTTTTGATTCAGATTTTCTATAATAAATTTATTAAATTATGCTTTCAAGTTTTTCTTAATTTACATACTACTTTTGCGATATAAATGACCAAAAATGCTATTAAATTTTTACACAAGAATATATGGAACAATTTTATCTATATGCAGTTTCCCTATAGCAAATATAACATGCTTTAAAGTTTTATTAACCTTACATAGTTATGAAATAATTAACCAAAGGTATGGGTAAAGTACTTTTTTTCTGTAGATTCATGCTTTAATGAGGATTATATTAAAATTCCTTTTTAAGCCTTACATAACTAGTTAACTCTCACTGCGGAATAATTAACTGATAAATATGGCTTAATTAGCACATAGTAATATAGACTAATTTGTTATGGAAACAGAACTTACAAAAATTTAGCAAAAATATTTAAATATACTCCGCTTAACCCATTTTTAACCAAAGTTGCATAAATGTACCAATTTAGTAAATATTTTTTATTAACACTCTGATGCTTATTTTCATTAATTTTATTTTTCTGCTGTTTTCAAGGGTTCTGAAGACGTTTATAAAATATTAGTAATTCAGTTGAAGAGAACACTCTCGGTTAGAAATTACGCTAGTTTGAAAATTTGATTTTAAACGAATCCGCCGATTAACGAATCCGCCTTTTTTTAAATACATAATGATTAAATTTCAGATTAATTTTATTATATGATGGATAAAAGTTACAAGTTCTGTAAATAAACAAAGCAAATGCCATAAGAAACTAGTGTTCAACTAAATGATTTGACCAATGATGTATATACGACCACTTTATTTCTGAAACAAAATATTATTCTTTATTCACGAAACTTTTTCTGTGTCTTAATGAAATTCACGCATATTTAAATAAAAATAATACCACATTTCTTAAAATTTCTATACTTGGGTCTTAGATGGGTAAAAAAGTATACATAAAGGTCATTTAATTATAATTAGAACTTACTAGTTAATTTGATAATATTTTGCTCAGAATTTGAGTTTTTTTGAAGAATTATTATCTTCTCAAAAATAAAATAAGGTATAACAAAGTACCTTCTGTGTAAAAAACAATATTTCAGCAACATTGTGTAAAAGCTTAAAAACTAACTTCAAGTTTCTCAAAGAAAAGAAGAAATGCAGAGTTTTCTTTCATTTTAAAGAAAGCCTTATGCATTCAATTCCCTTTACCTGGAACAAGGGAGCAGAATCAAAACGAAATCCATCAGAATTTGGTTGCTTTAGTAGGCTTTCTACTTCTTTTTCGGTATCATCTCTGGCAAGTAGAGCATTAAATGGAATATTGCGGAACTCTGTGGCCACTGATCTTGGAGCTCCTTTGTCCTATTACAGAAAAAAGAATAATAAGTTTCTTGCTTGCATGTTTTGCAAAGAAAGCTCTATCAAAATCATGATTTAAAAGACAAGTTATGTTGTTGTTTCTAAGCCACTTGTCAAATACCAGCAAGCCTGCTAGGTGAAACCAAGCGAATGTAAGACAGTAGATGCATTTCCTGTTTTTCAGTGACGCTATCTATGGCCAAGAATACGTTTTAAGCCCCACACCCGTTTTAAAAGGCGGACATATTCATTCCTGCGCAGATTGTAATTTTGACCTGAACCAGAGAATGATAAATCTGCAGTACCCCTATAGGTACTGATTTGTTATGGGAACTTGAATGCCTGACAGATACAACGGGCACCAGTCACCATTTACTACAAGGGAAGTCTTCGACAGACGAGAATCGAACTAACGACCTCTTGGTTACTGGCCCAGTGCCCAACAAACAAGGCTATCCCGGTCCAAAAAAAATAAGTAATAAATATCTTGAACTGTATCTAAGAGATTAAACATGGTGTTTACTAATGAAAAAAATCCCAAACGAAAATCGCCCTTGGTGGTTCTGTTAAACATCACCTCTTTTCCAAAATTAACTCCTGTTCCACAATTTTGGGTGAATTTTAGAATTTGTATCTTAAAAATTAGTTAGGTTAAATATTCTCAAAAATCGATGCATTTGGAACAAAGTTCACGAAAACTTCTGTGACCGGAAACTTTGCAAGACCTAACAGTAACTCAAACTAAAAGTAATTGTCAGTTATCAATTTTTAAATAAATTAATTATTTTTTTTACACTTTGGAAGAAAAATACCCGTACAGATTATCGCACAAATATTAAAAGATTCCTATAATGTTTGAAATATTTCATATATTTTAATCCGGTTTAGTTTAAGCAGCCGTTAAGTAAACTTAACATCTTTGTTAAGTTACTTAAATATCTTAGTGGGAAATCTTAAATATCTTAAGGACCGGGTTTATATCGCCGGTGTTGACTTGAAGCTTACCCGATATCCAATAGATAAGTACCAGCTAGTCTTGGAAGTAAAGACGGCCGGTGTGGGATGCTGACCATATTATCATTGGTTTCTAAATTTTAGAGCTTGAACCTTCATGACCCTACTGGTCCGGTATCACGAAGATTCTTTATTTTTTTAGCTCAAGTAGGCATTGCTTAGGCAACTCTAAGCTTTTTAAAATTAATTTATCTCTATAAATTTAGAAGAGTAAAATATTACGATCAACGCTGAGTCGTCGATTTACTGATAAACAATAATATCGGTACTTTAAACCATGATACGGTGCATATTTGCTGCAACCCTCATTAGATGTTAAATTGTACCACGTTTCCATTCAAGTTCAACAATAATAACGTACAATCATGCTTAAAAAGTACTATAATATAGTTCCTCTTAGCGCTATGTTAACGTTGCAGCAGCGATATTATGGTGCAGCACACTTCAAACTTTTTAACAAAGTCAAAGAATAATTCTACTTTTATATAATATACATAACAAATAAAATGTAATGAGATTAAACTTCTCAAATTGTAGTATTATTACTCAGCATTGTATTGCACTTACATTTGGAAAAATAAAACGCTTTAATGTGTAACTTTTGATCTCGTAATTTTGGGTTTGACATATAAAGATGTAATCTGAATAGTTCGACGGAATAACCTCAAATATACTAATTAATTTCAACTGTTATCTTTGCCATGAATAAATTTTGTAACTGATGCAAAAATTTTTTTTTTTCCAATTAGTTCAAATAGTTCTTTAGCTATAGCGAAATACGCAACATTAAATGAATCAAGTTTTTGACTGATCTCATAACTAAGCTATAGGAACCATAGCTGCCAGTTTGTATCAACCCCACATATTATGTAAGTTAGCAATTGGTAAAAAAAAACGGCATCTTTATTCAAAGAGAGTGTGTGTTTGTGGTTGATTTCGTAACTTAAAGTAGATCCTGCTCTTATCTATTAGAGTATTTAAGATTAAAGCCATTAAGATTTTACGTTAGTACGTGATTATCCGTTCATTAAATAAAAAGTCATTAAGTTGTTCTGTTTTACCTTTTGTACAACACACAGAGCTACATATCGCTCATAGGCTGTAATAGCGGCTCAACTCAAAAAATCTAGTTTTGAGATAAGTGGGTTAAAAGTTTTCATTGCTAAGCAAATGCATAAGAAATGCTTTCGTTTCCTTAAACGAAAATTACCTTCTACTTGAATTATGAGCTATGCAAGTATTACTGCTGAAAGAATGCCTATTTTCATGTTTACACCTGTTCTTAGTCCAGAACGCGTGTTTTTTGAGTTGTGCCACTATTGTAGCCTATGAGCATCATATCAAATATCAAAACATTTTTTATCTTTTAAAATTCATCAGATCTAACATCTCTTAGTGTTTTGTTTCCTATTCTACTAATAATGTTAATTTTTACGAAATTTTTAATACGTACTATGATTTTAAAAGCATAAAGTAGGTTTTCAGAATCTGTAACGCAGCCATATTCATTGTTTTCGGGATCATACTTCGGTACATATCCATCCACGCCAGTACAGATGAAACATTTTTCTACGTTTACAAAAAACGAGCTTCCTAGGTCTTGGGAAGGATCCATCATGACGCGTCCATAAACGGTATCTCCTGAAAAAAAAAGAAATAGTAATACACACACAACATAGATGTAATTATGACATTGATAAGAAGATGATGATAATTGTTTCACATAAAAGCGCAATGAAGATACCTGGTACAAAAGATGCATCGCTGTCCTCTCCAAATCCCATGCTTCCATTGGAAAGCCACAGATCTCGTTTTCGCATGAGGTGAAGATGGGTGTTGAGGCTATATTCTGTCGGAACTGGATCACTAACTTGTTGAAATCTTACGTGCAGATCAAAGTCAACAGGATCTCTTGGATTGCATTGAGGTGGGTAACTGTATTGCATTTCTTCTGTGACAGTACACGGTATAAGCTTCACGTTATATAACCCGGAATAATCTTTAACCTGAATGGATAAGCAGGAAAAAATGTATTGATTTCGTGAACATTACCTTAAAATAGAGGATATCGAGGTGTTTTTTGATTTTATTATTTTGTTTGCAAGCGTTACAGTCTAGTATCTGACCCAAACTATTCAGATTGTTAATATCTCCATATATTGTTAATATATCCATCTATCTCATATTGTTAATATCATGTATAATTTTTTCAAGAAAGTGCGTATTCATTTGTGTAAGTTATAGTTATAAATGTAAAGTGCGCCCAAAAAAGCAGACCACTCTGAATAAATTTTGATCTAATGATTGGATCTTCAAGTTCCAAGGTTCAATCTTAATGGCTCCAAGGGATGACCTCAACTATGCTAATTAATAAGTGCAGAAGATACTTTAAGTTGCAAAATCAGACACAAAAACTTACTTTCTCTGAATAAACATGAAATTCTTTCGACGGATTTGGATTTCTGACCCCCAAAATTATTTTACAAGCAACCTGTAAAATACAGTCCCAATAGTTTGGTTAAGAAGTTTGGACGCCTTAAGAACAATTTTACTTTTTGTGTATTTTACCATATTTCAAAAACTTTTCAAATGAATTGAAAAATGCACACAATTATAAAGTTCGTTAATCCAAAGATAATTCTATGCAAAAACACAACTTTTTTACTTTATTTAATAATAATCGAAAAACCATTTAAATGAATGGCAAAATACAAAATTTAAGCAAAATTGGTGGAATATTTTCCGAGAAATCGAGTATTAGAGATACGACTTTTTTAAAATTCCATTTCTTATTGCTCAGATTTCGTTTAAATTTTGAATTTTGTTATTTGAAATTGCATTAATTAAAATGATCTAAAATTTGTACAGACATGATGTAAAATGATGTAAAAATTTGTACAATTCAATTTTTTTTACCATTATTCAGTAAGAGTAATAAAAATTAATAAATATTTATTAAAAGTTATATTTTGCTTGGAATTATCCTCAGATAAATGAATTTTTTAATTTTGTGAAATATTTCTGAATTCATTTTAATAAATGGATATAGTGAAGCAAGCAAGATATATGAGAAAATAAGCAAAAAGTAGAATTATTACTGAGGGATTCAAACTTTGGATCGTTCTATTGGCCAAACTGTTAGGACCATATTTCTCAGATTGCGGCTATCACCTTTATTTTGGGGATCGGAAATCCGAATCCGTCGAAACAAAGGTACGTCCGTTTAGAAAAACTGTGATTTTGTGTCTGATTTCAAAATTTAAATCTAACCTACCCTAATTAATTAGCATATTTGAAGTCACCCCCTTGAACTATTGAAATTGAGTCCTATAACGTAAAGATTAGATCATTAAATGAAATCTTATTTAGGATAGTTCAGTTATTTTTTGCGGGCTGTACATACTTCAAGATAATTTTTGGTGAAGAAATTTGATAGCATTTTAGGCAAAATTTCTCAGGCAATCAAACTGGTTTTGATGTTATATTAATTCCGATTTTTTCTCAAGTCATTCTTTAAATTTCGAAAGAGTTATTTTTTTCTCACTTAAATATTAATTTGCTACTTCCAGTGTGTGCAATTTTTACAATTTCATTTCTAAAAACAACGATTCTAAAAACATTATGGGCTGCTACTATAGAATACGATTTAAATAAAAATCCGAGAGCATAAATAAAGACCAAACAAATTTTTAAAGATACGCATGTTAGCACAAACAGTACTTCATCAGAGGGCACACTGCCATGCTAACTTGCTGGAGCCTTTCTGTAGTCAGAGGTTGAACCAAAAAATGACTGTAGCCCGAGACCCCATAATGGAAAGCAAAATAAGAATATAATACTATATTTATTTTGAGGTATTGTATTATATACTTATTTTGTTTCCCATAATGGGTCTCGAGGCACAGTTAGTTTTTGGTTAAACCACTGACTACAGATAGGTTCCAGCACGTTGGAATGACAGTGTGTCCTTGATGAAGTACTGTTAATGTTAACATTATCTTTAAAATTTGTTTTTTATTTTATTTAAATTCTCACATTTTTATTTAAATTGTTCATTTGAAGCAATTTTAGTTTTAGCTGTTATAGCGTTTTTCCATTTTGACTTATTTTACTTAAATTCTGGTATTCATTTTTGTTTAATTCAATTTTTATTAATATACTATATTACAGAATACGATTAATACAGAAAAAAGAGTATGACCTAAAATTACTTGGTGCAAAACGATTGCAGACGAATTGATAATAGTTGGAAGGACATGATGAGAGGCAAAATATCTGGTCACAATTATAGTGAGATGGAAAGCTGTGATAGAAGCCTTATACTCCAATTCAGAATGAAAAGGAATACGCGTATGTATGTATTACAGAATACACTATGTTAACAAAAATTAAATTTGCTAAACTTCCTATTTTGTAAGTGCAGATTCTGATGTACATATAACCATTGATATATCAATGATATTACATTATGTATTTTGTAAAAGAATTTTTCGCTACCATATTCATGGTTTGTATAATATTCAGTTTGACAATTACTATAAATAGGTTCATACCGCATAATCAGAAACAAACTGCCATTCCTGCTGTGGTTGTGAAAATGTTGGCTCAGTTCGAAGAAGTTGGAGAGTAAAAGATAAATCTGGATGAGCAGGTGACATAATCATAGACTGGAATCCTGAATCTAAAAACATTTAAAAACAATAGACAATTAACTTATCATACGAACAATAAACAATAATTCATGAACAATTGGGTACAATATAAAAAAAACACAACTACTTCCACTTAGTAGGAATAACATTTACCATGACGCAATGCTAAATTCTATGCCACTATCCACATAAATCAATTATNAATGACAGTGTGTCCTTGATGAAGTACTGTTAATGTTAACATTATCTTTAAAATTTGTTTTTCATTTTATTTAAATTCTCACATTTTTATTTAAATTGTTCATTTGAAGCAATTTTAGTTTTAGCTGGTTTTAGCGTTTTTCCATTTTGACTTATTTTACTTAAATTCTGGTCTTCATTTTTGTTTAATTCAATTTTCATGCATATACTATATTACTGAATACGATTAATACAGAAAAAAGAGGATGACCTAAAATTACTTGGTGTAAAACGATTGCAGACGAATTGATAACAATTGGAAGGACATGAAGAGAGGCAAAATATCTGGTCACAATTACAGTGAGATGGAAAGCTGTGATAGAAGCTTTATACTCCAATTCGGCATGAAAAGGAATACGCGTATGTATGTATTACAGAATACACTATGTTAACAAAAATTAAATTTGCTAAACTTCCTATTTTGTAAGTGCAGATTATGATGTACATATAACCATTGATATAGCAATGATATTACATTATGTATTTCGTAAAAGAATTTTTCGCTACCATATTCGTGGCTTGTATAATATTCAGTTTGACAATTACTATAAATAGGTTCATACCGCATAATCAGAGACAAACTGCCATTCCTGCTGTGGTTGTGAAAATGTTGGCTCAGTTCGAAGAAGTTGGAGAGTAAAAGATAAATCTGGATGAGCGGGTGACATAATCATAGACTGGAATCCTGAATCTAAAAACATTTAAAAACAATAGACAATTAACTTATCATACGAACAATAAATAATAATTCATGAACAATTATCGGAATTTCTATTGGCGTTGAAATAGCGAACACAATTTCTGACACAATTCATTTAGAAAACAATATCAGCTTGTATTTATATCAGACATAGAGCTGCTGTTAAAATCAGAGCATCCTATTGAGCGAAGAAATGGTGATAAAATTTGCTAGTAGCGCTTAAGAAACAAATGCAAGTTGTGTTGTTAAACGTAGTCTCTATAAAATATTTAACTTTCCTTTGTCGGAAGATGGTCAGTTAACCAAAAATAGATAATATAGCGATAGCAGTTCTTTACTTTACACTGTTAAAAAAAATTATGATTAATATTTATTAATTATAAGAAATGAATTTTGGCTACTTTTCTTTAAGCGTTTTCGACAAGAATCATAAGGTGAACGAGGCACACATTTCTTTTTCTTCTGGGAAGAGATGAGAAAAAGAAAAGTTCTTAGATTGGAATGGCAAATATTTTTGTACTGAACAATTTTTTTTCTTCCCTTGAATTTAAGAAATATTTCTTTCTTTCTTTGGTTTAAGCTGCAGTATGCACTCTTTTTACTTCACACTTAGTTTAATATTTTACGCTTTACTTTTTGCTATACTTTACTTGATTTTACTTTTTACTGTTAAAAAGTAAAGTGTCCACGTATGCTAATAAAACAACAAATTTGATATTTTGCTATTTTACATATTTGTGTAATTTATATTCAACAATTAATATCTTCCAATTAATGCATTTTTGAATCTTAAATAAATTCTAATATTATTTAATTTAAATTTCGTATTTTTTCAAAGTTAAACGTTTTTTCGTATTTTTTTTTACCTCAATAAATAGCAGATGAATATGTATTTCGTTTGTAATTGACAGAGTGTAACAAGTGATAAAAAAAAACTCCTGGAAGCAATTTGTAGATTGCGTATGGAAACAAATTATTTGAATTCCATAATTATTCACATTGTGTATATTATTACAAGTTAGATTGTTTTGTTATTTATTAGGACCAATAACAATTTAATGAACCAGTAACTTACCAGGATGATTCAGCACGAATTGTCCCCTAAACCTTGGCTCCGTGCGGAAATTAACCAACAATTTCCCATCGTGGCCTATAGTCATTCTTGTTGGATAAAGATAACCTAGAAGGATTGCAAAGATTTCAAAGTTCTCAATTATTTATTTGTAAAGCTAATTATTTTACTACTAAAGTGCAATTATTCTTTCAGATTATCTAGATAATGTACAGATTTAATTAGGGGATCTATTTAAAATACCAAAAGTTGCTTTATTTCTCAAATTTTGGAGGTAATCTGCGAATTACTTAGATCCTAGGTAATCTGCACATAACATAGGCACTTTCTAAAGCAAAAGCACACTTAAATTAACGTAATATTATTTATTTATTTTTCGATGTCTAAAGAATCAAGTTAATACAATCAATCAACAGAATAGTTGTTTGATGGAATCATCAATAAAATAAAAAAACCATAATAGAAAGAATCAAATGGTATAAAGGATTATTACAATTAAAGGAATTAAGAAAATATCTAAATTATTTTTCAATATTCAAAAAATCAAGCACACTCTAACAATCAACAAACTAAGTGATAGAATGAAGGAAACTAATTTTGCAACTTTAACAATATGAAAACCATTAATGTGCACATTAGATAAAATGGAGAAAACTCTTGATTCTACTCTTTAACGGATCATCCTAGTTAATATGCTAATTATCTACGTAATGAGTACATTTACGACTTTCGTGCTATTGAGGTAACACATATATCGTTTAGAACACAATTCAGTTTTACCAATTTTATTTAATTTCCAGTCAGCAATAAAAAAAATACATCAATAAAAAATTTTAAAAAAATGTGTTAGGCTTTGAAAAAATTAAAAGTACTTTTGTTTGAAAAAAATACTCCTTTTTTTTATCAAATTAAGCTGTTATATACTAATTTATGATTTATTGTGCGATCGTTTAGTTTGAAATATTTAAGAAAAAATGTTAGCTATTTATAAAATGTATCAAATGCATCTGACATTTTCTTACGATAATGAAAAACGTTGAATAAATTTGAAATATTTCCAAATGAAGTTAAAATTTAAGAAATAGAACAAACTATGAAAATAGAATAATGGTATGAAATTTTACAGAACAATTTAAATAAATATTCAGAAAGAACTTCATTGATGAAATCTATTTTTCACAAATCTTCAATGACATGATCTCCAGTAACAATTCACATCTCTTTATTACCAAAAATAAATAAAATTATGTAAGCTATGCAAATATACACACAATAATAAGTAAATTGTTTATTAAGATAAAAACTGTAATACCTTGTAAAACAGATTCTTCGGGGGCTCCAATTCCTTGCTGCCACAGAATGGCAGTATCATAAACAAATGTCAGTCTGAGTTGTGAGCTCAAGTCATTATGTTGCCAACCACCCATGGCAACCGGAGAATGGAATATGTAAGATACATAAAGAGGAACACGTATAGACACGTATGATTGTACCAGGTTCATTACCTAACGATGAGATGGAATATAAATCTTAAATTCAATAGATAAAATTGCAAATATAACTGCAAAATTGAATGCTTAATTGCAAATTTTAATCGCTCTATTAAAAGATACAACTACAATTCATAAATTTTAATAATTTTAATATAATATATTGGTACTTAATGAAATCGAAATATTCCACACATCCAAATACGTCACATCGTAGATTTTAGCATGTAATGTCAAAAGTTTTCCAAACATTTTATGGAACTATAATTTGTGTTTAAATAATATTAAGAGTACAAGAAATATTAAAGTAATATTAAGAGCAAGATGCGTATATTAGTAATAAAGACGAAGTAAAGAAGATGAAAAGATAGTTAGAACTGTTGTTTCAATTACCACAAATATACTAATATCAGTATATTCGTAGTTAGAACTTAATCCTATACTCCTATACTGACATTAATTGAAATAATTATGTTATTATCTCCTATTTCTCAAATTATAATATGTTGTGAGATAATTTAAAAATTAAAAAAATAAATTTCTGAAAAACTGCAAAGAATTATATAATGCATTATTTAAAATTCGCAACTAAAATGCTCCCAATTTTAATGCTTTATTTTAAAATAAAATATATATCTGCTGTATGGATACATTTTGCATTGAAAATTTAAGTTCGCCGTAATTTCAATTATCTCGAATAAACTAATATTCGTGTATTTGGCAAGAGAACTCCAACTTTTAATGTCATTATTCGAGAATAATTATATAGTAAGATGACCTGAAAATTAAAAAACTTAAATATTTTAGAAACTTTTTAAGTAATATTAAACAAGACATTAATTATTAAAGAGTGGTATATAATTTTCAAAATGTAGAAATTTACCTGACCATCGGTTGTAATGGTTCCTCCGCATTCACTAACAAGTTCTGATACATCATAATAAGATGTAAATTCCCACATACAAGCATCAAGATCTAAATTTCTATAAAATCTAAAAATAATTATAAATTAGTAATTTCAAATCACCTACTTAATAAGTAATGCAATGCAATCGATACTAATTGTAAATATGATGGTTCCAAGTTCTAAAAGTGTCTTTTTCGGTAAGATCGATTTTTGAAAATAGTAATAATGCACTATCATAGTTCGTCATTTTTAATGGCCATTTATTAGGAAATTTTCATATCCTTTAACAATCAAACTTCGTGTTAACCCATTCTTTGCCAAAATTTCGTAAACGAACCATTTCAATAAATATTTTTTATTAACACTGATCACTAACACTGATCTATTTTTTATTAACACTGACTGTATATTTTTCAGTAATTTTATTTTTCTTCTATTTTTAGATGTTCGGAAGACATCTGTAAAATATTAAAAATTCAATTGTACAATACTTTATGTTGAAAAATTTTCAAAATAAGCCAGTTTTTTTTTTTTAAAAGTTGAAACGGTTATTTCCAAAATCGATTTCTTAAAAATATATAAATTAAAGAAATATATAAATTAAAAAAATATCTAAAGTGTTCCACTTAGGATTAATCATATGTTTCTATGATGGATTCCGCAGATACGATAAAACAAATGTCATAAAAAAAGCTTTCAACTGAATAATTTCTTCATTGATTTGGCCAATGGTATGGTATAAGCACCACTCTATTTCTTAATTAAGCCGGTCAGGTGGCCGAGGGGTTAACGTTCCTGACTGCGAAGCCAATGGCTGCGGGTTCGAATCCCGCTCTTGGCATGGATGTTTCTCTCTCTGAGTTGTCTTCTGATGTATGAATGTGGCCCACCCTATAAACGGGTATTTGTGGCAGTGTGGCGTGGGTGATGTTTCTCGCCTCCGTGGCTTTGGTTCACAGGTGCCTACTGCGTAATGATAAATGAGCAACACTTCCGGCATCTTCTAAGGCGAAGAACGAAAGTTCAGTGCCTGCCGTTATTAAAACAAAATATTTCTTCAATAAAATATTATTTTTTATGCACGAGCCTTTTTTTGGGTCTAAATGAATGTGCTTTAAGCATATTTCAATAAAAATAATGCCACATTTTATAAAATTTCTATGTCATGTCTAATAGGAATTAGTTTAGAGTTAAATCATTATCACTATGGAGAGAGCCTGTTTGCATCGATGTGCACGCCAGATGGATGCCAAGCTCCAGTGCGAACGCATATTAATATCCCCAACTCTGAAACGACGTTGCACAGCCTCCTTTTTGCTTGCTTTCACATTAATAATAACAACAGTTATAAACAGCAATAATCAATTAACAAGAAATAAAAATTAATAACAATAATATCTAAAAATCTTTACAAATATATGTCTGTTCGCGTTTAAAGAAATTGATGAATAAATAACGGCAGGCACTGAACTTTCGTTCTTCGCCTTAGAAGATGTCGGAAGTGTTGCTCATTTATCGTTACCCAGTGGGCACCTGTGAACCAAAGTCACGGAGGTGAGCAACATTACCCACGCCACACTGCCACAAATACCCGTTCATAGGGTGGGCCACATTCATACATTCACAGATCAGAAGACAACAGAGAGAGAGAGAGAAACATCCATGCCCAGAGTGGGATTCGAACCCGCAGCCATTGGCTTCGCAGTCAGGCACGCTAACCACTCATCTACCTGGTCAGCTTGATGAAAGAATAATAAATATTGTTACTTGCAGGCAATTTTCTTCTACAGCGAAGCAAAAGTAAAAATTATCTTTCGCGAATTTGATTTGTTAAGAACACGTCAGCATAAGACGTGCCAACTTTAGTGTTCCAATCAATTTCAATGCTCCTGCAACGTCATATAGTTGTTTCTTTTTAAAAAACTAATGTTCTCCTTATTTATCGAAATATGTCACCAATTCTAGGATCCAGTAAGGTTACGAAACTAAAATTTTTTTTTAATAATTCTATAATGTATATCGTAAAAGATAACACGAATTAAATTTCTGTAAGATGGGTTTAAATTTTAAAAGCTTTCATATTGCTTTGGAGGCATATTTATGTAATTTGATAACGAAATAAAACAGAACTATATGCAGTTGGGGAGGATTACTTAAATCCTATACCGCAACGGTCTTTTCTTAACTTGCAACGGAGTATAGATCTTTTACCTTCCTTCTAAAAAGAAAAAAAATTTCAAAAGCAACGCTGAAAAGGGTTTCTATGCTAGATAAATGTAAAGGGTTTCTATGCTATTTACTCTCAAAATAGTGCTGTAATTTTATTGTTCATTACTATGCTCATTAATATTTAATAAATAATTTTATGTACTAATTAATGTGCTAATATGCAATAATGCGTAATGTACTGTATATAATGTACTAATATGTACTTATGTACTAATAAATAACTTATAACTGTGATGCCATTATAGTGCAAACTATGATGTCTTTCTAGAACTTGATATTAAAAGTCACTGTATACATTTCTTTACCTTTGTTTCCGTAAAGAAAATATTAGTTATGTCTCATATAATATTTCAGCTTTTGTTTCAGATAACTTTAATAGTTTTTCAGAAATGTAAAGCAAGTATTGCATTTATCCTTTACATAAGCAAAATAATTTCTCCTGCATGACATGAGCTATGCAATCTTTACATGTAAATTATATTTAATAAGTAATTACCTGAGCGTGGGTTCGCTTCTCAAAGCTGCACTATGTTGATAAGGTTCTGCCTCTCCTATTATGTTCGGATTCTTCGTCTCGTTTGTAATAAAACCATACTTGGTCGGAACTTCGTAATAATCTAAGAGATTCGAGCACTTATGAGTGCCTTTTCTTAATCCATCTGGACTTAGTGTCAGTTCGAAATTCGTGAGCTTTCTAGTGGATATAACGGGCAGCATACCATCGGAATGAGGAATGGTTATTGTGAGTTTGATAAGATTTGGATGAGTTGGATCGGATTTACCTAAAATTTAATAAATGAAAGTAATATGGAATCAGCAAGGAAAATTAATCAGCACTGAAGATTTCCTTCATGTCTTTCAAGAGACTTTCATTTTAGTTTTTTTTAATGTCTCACATAATTTCAACATTAGTTATTAAGATCGTCAACAGATGGCGCCATTTATTTAATTAAGAAAAAAAATTTAACTGCAAGTCCCTACCATTGCAACAAAAATATTTACACGGGCTATGTTGTATTTGTCCTTAGACTATGAAACTTAGTTGCTGCAAATGGCGTTATTTTTTTTCTGTTAATTTCGCCATTTGTTGACGAACATTCTAACTTAATTTGTATTAAAAGTAAATTGCCAACTGAACAAAATTTAACTCATCAAATGTTTATTTCCTTCCGTTATTATTTATTAATTTTGGGGACACCCTGCACATGATAATGATTTGCCAGAAAAATGTTAAGTGATTTTATAACAAAAAATTTATTTTAATGAACTGCTTAACATGAATTTCAGTAAAGTTAAAAATTCACAAGACAAAGTTTCTATAATATGGTGTTTGTTGTCTTCAAAACCATATCTAAATGCAAATCGCATTTATGTAGTATGGATATTTTACCTGTGTATCTCAAATTAGCTGTGAAAGGCTCAGCACCAAGTGATCCTTCCAACCTAGGAGCACAAAGCCCTCTTTCTTTAGAAATGACGACAGGAACACTGATTAGTTCTAATCCAGGATCTCCATCTTTACTAACTGCCCTTGCGCTGCACTGGACGCGGCTTCCTAACAAAAAATGAGGAAATGATGAAGAAATTTTGATTTTCATGACGAAATTTCAAATTACGAATTGATGTATTAAGTTTTATTAACTGCACATAAGCTTCAAGCACATAGAGCTCTCAAAATAAGCTAAAAATATAAAAAAAAGGGAATTAAAAAAACGAGAAAAAAATTTAAATGAAAGAAAAATTCAATGTATTAAAAATTTTGAAAATATTTAAAACTTTGGAAGATAAGTTTAAAAAATTAGTTAAAAATTAGAAAAATTAACAACGAAAATATGCAATCTCGCCATCAACTCACATAATTATCTCCGCAAGAATGTATAACCAAAGCAAAATGCATATCAAAGCAAAAATGTACGTCAATGCATAGCACCACGTATGAGTAGCACCAAGAAAATAAGATCGATTAGTTAACATAATGTAATCAAATAAAATTATCCAAAAAATTCAAGAAAAATTTACAATAAAACACAAATGTTGGTAAAAGTTACTCGATTTGTAAAATAAATTTAAAACTAGCTCTTTTTTTACAAGTAAAGATTTTAAACCTCCTTGATTCGTTAAAAAATAAATTAAAAACCTGTTCGATTCTCAAAGTTATAAAATAAAAAACAATTCAATTCATAAAATAAGCACTTTCCGCACATTAGAAACCAGTACGTTTTGCAAAATATTAAATTCAAAACTTGATAGATTCGCAAAAAAAAAGGTTTCATTTTGCAGGAAAATGCAAAACTTAGCAACAATGCAGAACGAAGTACTGCAAATTTTGCTAGTTAATACCGTAGTGATAAAAGTAATTTAACACACGAAAGAAACTACCCTTGTTTCATTTTTAAGTTTAACTCATTTTCAAATTTTTCCAACTGTAGATCGAGATGATTTTGAAGCTAAAAACTTAAATAACTATATACTGATTCGCACTTACCAGAGGAGAAATAAATACTGTCTAGAGTGATGTTGTGAGTTCCTGAAAAAAACGTTATAGATTCTACATCTCTAAGGTCATTGGTAACTCCATCTTCCCCGCTGGGTGCAGAGACTCTCCAACGGTACTGTGTTAAAACATCATCTATTCCTTCTCTGGAGCATATGTTACCAGTTTTGGAAAAATCAGGATGTTTTGGATTACAAGGCTAAAAGAAAAATCTCATTTGAAGACAATATTGGGGTTAAAAATAATTATCAATACTTTATCTGATCTAAATCACCATGGCATGTGGCATTTATCATAGTTTGAATTTTATTCTTTACACCGCATTTACAAGAGACCTAACACCCGCCGCATAAGACTCAAGAGGTACAAAAACCTGATTTTTCTTCCTATTTAAGCCCTTTAGCCTACTCCCATGATTTTCCTAGACTGCTTACAGACTAGTATTATCATCTGAAGACATTTCTGAGACACATGCTGATTTTCTGACGTGTTTGTGAGGATTGGCTCTTAACGTCACGTGGTTGTTTTTCGCTTATCCTTGCAAAGTATGATTCTTAACTTTAGGAATGGTGTAAATTTGGCAAGCCTTTTTGTAGGCCTGTGACGTCAGAAAACTGATTCCGGACGTCTGCGATCCGTCCTCCATGTGAATTGGGTGTAAGTTTCTGTGGTTCGGAACAAGAACTCCGAGATTCATAGTAGATAGTAAACTTCATTGTAGACATTCTGGACAATGCTCTGTCTAAAATCTGTGGCAATATTTCGGAAGAGATTGTAGAATAACTGCTCCATTCACACATCGAGGCTTGGCAGCCGTGGATTGTCTAAACTGGATCTTCAGAACGTGGTGTTCAAAAACTGGAGTGGTCTTCTAGTTGATCCAATATAAATATCACAGAACACCATTGAAGAGGATCATATCGCAGTTTGGGTGGCCAATCAAATCAAACATCCTCATTGTCAGGACTTACTTCACCTGTGATGCTTGCCATCTTATGGTAATGCCATCCTATGGCTAATTCCCATGGCCATCCATCAAACATCTATCAAACATTAGTGAAAAATCTCTTCAGACATGTGCAGGCTGTCGTTGATGCAAAAGAGGATCAACATCGTATTAAATGTGTGCTTCAGGACTATGTCTGTGTCGCTGGATATCCGGTTACTTTTGTAAAGATAGTGTACAAATTGCGTTTATTAGATTTTATGAAGAAAAAAAATGGCTCCAGGAAAATTATTTACCATTTCTATATTCCTTTTATCTTTATATTATAACCGCTGATTTGTCCTCAAATCATGGTTTAAAAGTCCGGTTACCTTAATGTAAGCGGCAGATTGTTCAAGTAAGCGGATAAACTCTATGGGTGAGAGTCAGCGATTTCCTAAATCGTCCGTTTTACTGCATTTTTGGAATTAAATTTTCGCATTAAAAAGCTATTTAAATTTTGAGAGACGTGGTAGGCAAAGAGTATCGAAGAAAATAAAAAAGTTTAATTACGATTCCAGTAGTCTCGGTACAGTTATATGTGCAGTGACTGACCAAACTAGACTATTTTTTTAAACGTTTTTACATCATTTTGTCTAGTTAGATGTAGTAAATTTCTAATGTGACCGATGAGCTGTTTTTCCTAAAATCATACACTAAAGTCTACTAACACTAGAGCCGAATTCATAATTTCTGTTTTATATGGTCTGAGGGGCAGTAGTTCAATGTGAGAACTCATATTTCATAATAGTGCTAATCTCCAACCGTTTCCTTTTCAATTAAATTAATCTTCAAAGAAAACAAATTTTAGTATTTTAAAAGCTTATAAACATATCTTTAAGCAGACGAGATATAATACTTTTTAATGTAAGAAAAATGTTACATTAATATAATAAGTAAATGTTAAATAACAGCCTGTTAGTGATGGCTGATTGATACGAATTCCACACTCGGCTTGCACCGACCACAATACAGACGCAAAATATCCTAATTGGTAGACGGATCATGGGTTAGAGTCCCCTTGCCGTCAGGCTAACCGTGGGGGATTTTCGTGGTTTCCTTCTCCGTGTAACGCAAATGCAGGTTAGTTTAATTAAAAGTCTTCCACGAAGGCAAATTTCTCCCAATACTTGATCCAGGAGTTCCTTTGTCTTCTGAATTGGGTTCAAAATTGCAAGGTTACTGAGTTGAGCATAAGCAGTAGTAAACCCAAAAATTGGGTAGGCTGTTTATCGATGGTTATTAAATAAAACAAAATATTCAACCTACAAATTTTATTCTTGGTGACCTAATAAAAAAAATAGAAGTTATGTATTCAAAACAAATCGAAAAAGAAGAAAGTGTTTCACTTCATCAAATTTTTATACTTTCTAAGATTTTAATTTGATTAAGATAAGTTATTATTTAACACTAAACAAAGTAAAAGTAGAAAACAGTCAGTATTGCCTAAAAGCAAGAAAATTTTAAGTATGGTTTGAAACAATATTTCATATTTCATGAGCTTTGACATTGTATTTAAAATATAACCATTTATATATATAAAAAAAAACTGTGATAGAAAATTTCATTAAAAGGCTTAGATTTAATTCAAACAAAGAAGTGCGTCCTTATTATTTCGATACACTAAGGTATTACTTGATACAGAATTTTACACAGTTCTGGACATAACGTTTAATTATACAAAGTAACCATAGGTATTAAATATGAATTACAATTATTAAGTGTGCATTTTCGTCAAACTGCGGAGTTAACTCCTATATGAACTCCAATAAATAAATGAAATTTCTCATTTTAAAGTAATTTTCGCTATTTGGATTTTACTTCTAATACACGAGAAATGTTCACCTGCTGTTTATTTCAGTCACGAGGGCAAAGTTTTCGTCATCGAATGCATTGTGAATATTATATGAAACTATTGATGATAATAAATTATTTATGAGCTTTTTACGATTATTAGATAGATTTTCAACATACTATAATCTGTCGTCGTTAATGTTTCAAATAATAGTAATAATGTCTATTATTGTGATGGCTTATAGACTTTAATCCTTTTCTACCGTATTACGTTATACATATAGTAGTCTTATCGGGAGGAACTAATATTTTGTTGGACGAACTTAATAGTATGCAGGAAAGTGAAGAAATTAATTATATATAAAATAATTCTTTTTTTCGTTAGAAGGAAATGCTCTATTAAACTTTTTAACACAATTTGTAAAATATAATGGCTAAACGTAAATGAAAGAATATTGCTCAGTACTATAGAATGATTTATTTTCTTTTTTTGCTGTTGTGGTTTTGAAAGCAGGCATGCAACTGAAAGAAAAAAAAACAGAACTTTGGTTAGTTGCGAAAAGTCGTTCGATCGCAAAAAGGGTTAATACTTTTTCAACGATTTTGGTAATAGAGGATTTTAAAAAAAATGTCAGTCAAGAGGGACTTACCGTTATGCAAATGCATAACGGTAAGTCCCTCTTGCATAAAGGTATGCATACTTACCGTTATGCAAATTACAGGATAGCCAGATATAGGCTCTTTATTAGCTTTCTCAGCATCGTCGTACTCACGAAGGGACACAATCATAGGCCTTTTCGGAAAGGTGACATCAGCAACAATATCCATTTCTTGAATGTATACAATGGCTTTTGGATCCTTTTTAACAGAAAGGAAATCATAGAAGGAAATTTTATTTTACAAGCATAATCTTAAAAAATATTAATTTTTACCCAAAATCCAACACGGAGAAAAACATTCTGGCAAAATTTACAAATAGTATGGCAATGATATTTTTGGCAGAAGAAAAAACCATAACTCTGATTAACAAAACCGAAATGCATGGTATTTAAACCATTCATTTAGTGATTTTCCCGTTCATATGGTAACGGATTACCAAAAACTCTGGTTTTCAAAATTATGGTTCTTAATAACAAACATTTAGTAAAAAATACAAAACTGAGAAGTAAATTTTACCAAATAAAAGAAAATTATTCCATATGATCAAAGGTATTATTATAGAGTTCCTAAATGATTAATTTTACAATTAATCATTTAGGAATTTTAATTTTTCCATACTTTATGATTAATTTTACAAAAATCCTTAACAAAGTGGTTGGTCAAAATATGGTAAATTTTACCAAATTCTGATTCTAATTTTTTCTGATTGTATTTTCTTAAGATCTATTCCACAAATTATTTATCTCTTAAAACCTATCTTAATGAACCATATTTAATTAAAATAAACAAATAAATACAGTTGATATTGAAAAATCAATTCCGAAAAATACATCCTTTCAAGTTAATTTCTTTTAAAACCATTGACTTTTTCTTATTTAAACATATACATTTTTGACAAAATGAGCTACTTTAAATACATTGCTGCTCTAAGAATGTCTCGATTTTAATGATTCATAGAAATTGAATTATGTGAATGCTTCTTTAAACTTATCTCTTGTGCAAGTGAAAAATTGATAAAACCTGGTCAGCAATAAGGGTAACCTAAAACAAAAGTGGAAAGGACATGTGTTGTAACGTCAGTATCACAGCGACGATAGCAGATCTAACAATCGGGATTATAAAGGGATGTGGAAAGTGAGTATGACAAATTTGTCACAAGTTGTCCTTAATTAAAATGGAGGTGCAGTTTAAGATCCTTTTAAAAAAAAAAACCTACTAAAACAAAATCAACGAAAATTTCTGTAAATACCACTTAGACCATAAAAATGTTATTTTTGAAGCAAAAATAATAATTATATTATTTGTAAAATTTCAGTGACGAAAAGTACTTCTTATAAGTGGGCATATCGTATTATTTTTGAGATGAAAAAACACACAGTCTGTCTATAGAAAACTAACGAATCACTACTGAGAAAGAAGGAACTGAAAGCCTCAAAACCTGTTTGATTGTCAGAAAAGATAAAGAGGGATTGAAGGGAGATTCTTCGAAACACTTCCAATTTCCAGCAAGTTATTAAGTTCGTTTTAAAATTTCCATTCCCTTCCTTTCTCATTAGCTATTCGACAGATTTCGATAGCGTTTTTGTTTCTTCCATGCTTTAAAATTAGTTTGCAATATCTTATGCGCAATCTTTTTCATTCCCTTTTTGACAAAGATCCATATTTTAAGGATAGTGATTACGGAGCACCTTAGAGTGGATTTTTTTAAACATTTAGTGTGAATTTACTTTTATGTCAGCAACCATATTCTTATCCGGCTTAAGGTGAAGAGTAAAAGCTTCTCTGTGCTCTTTTTCTTCATCGTACAAAATTTCAATTTCAACCATGAGTTGAGATACATTAGGCTTGAACTTCAATTCTGAAAATAAGTAATAAGCAGATAATTGCATGCATCATTTATATAGTTTACAGTTAAATATTAGAATATGAGAACATGTTTAAATTCGATACCTTTTGAATAAGGAACATAATCAATTCCAGATTTAGCAGATCCATCTTTAGTATGTGCTCTGATTCGAGAAAGTTTTGATTGATCACCCGTTCTTATTACAGGAATTTGCAATATTGAAGTTTCTTTAAGATCTTGCGGTTCTTTGATTGTGTATCGATTTCTTTCCAGTTGTATAATTGATTCTGTAAAAGTACGAGAATCAGAAAGTGTTTAAACTAACAAAATTTCGTATATAGGATATTAGAACGTTTATTTTTTACAGTGAACAAGGNGTTCTTATTACAGGAATTTGCAATATTGAAGTTTCTTTAGGATCTTGCGGTTCTTTGATTGTGTATCGATTTCTTTCCAGTTGTATAATTGATTCTGTAAAAGTACGAGAATCAGAAAGTGTTTAAACTAACAAAATTTCGTATATAGGATATTAGAACGTTAATTTTTACAGTGAACAAGGAAACACTTTAGCACAAAAGGCACAAGAGTCTCATAATTAGTAAAAAAATTATTTTAATCTTTCGTAAAATTATTAGTAATTGTATAATATTACTATATTAACACTGCAAAAAAATTTTTTCCCGGTTGCACGCAACAGACCTTCGATACTTTCGTGTCACTGATTTCAAATCTACTATAGGTTTGTTATTTATTGTTTATTTTTTGTCAATTGTGCAAGCTTAAAAACGTTATAAATAACAGGGAATCCCATAAATGTAGTGACAAACTTCTTGGGAGTTAGACATCATGTAGATTAAATTTGCATAGGAACCCATACCCAGGAAAGACATCATAAGCTGCTAGGGGTGCTAGCCTACTATGAACTATTTCTTCGAGTGTTTCTGAACAGTTCAAGAACACTAGCTGCGTATGACGACATTTTCGGGATTTGGATTCCCATTCAATTTTATTCCTAATGACGTGACCCCACTCCCTTAGATGTTTATTGAAACAACTGGGGAATAAGAAATTTATTCCCCAGTGTAATGTTAGAGAAGCTAAACACTTTTAAGATTTCTAAAAATGTTTCTTGTTAACACTAGAAAGACGGAAAATTAGTATATACCTATATTGCCCAAAAGCAGTCAAAATGACTAGATTGTGAATGCGTAAATAAATTTGCTTTAAATTAATTTAAAAATTTTTTTTAAATTTTTTACAGTTATATAACAAGTTATTAGTAAATATTAACAATAAAAAAATTATATGTTTTACAAAAAATCACAAAATTCTAAGAAATTGTGTCATTATATAACATCATAGTTTTTATAATTGAAATTAAAAGCAGTCAAAATGACTTCCTCAGGCAATCTAGTGTTAAATTTATTAATATTAAGTTGAATTCATAAAAAAGTTTACAAAAATTGCTCTTTAAACCATTTAAATTTCTAAATGGATTTTTATATCTGGAAAGTAATTTTATGACTTATTAAAATGTGAAAGCATAATAACAACAATAATAATTATCATAGTTTGATTTAGATCTAATTGCTTAATAAAATTTCCGAATACTTACTGTCACTCACGTCTTTAATAGTAACAAATGTAACATTTCTATGTCCCACAATTGCGCCCTGAGCGGATTTGCTAACAGGTGAACCTAATACTAATCTAAAATTTTCATCTCCTTCAAAAACAGTATCATCTATAAGGTCAACTGAACAAACTTTTTCAATTTCACCTATAACAAATTGTTATAATGAACTTGCATGCAACATTCATATTTCATCAAACATTTGAAACACATTTTTATAATTTTACAAAAATATTTAAAAGAGTTAAATAAACGATTATTTAAATTTTTTACAAGTTAAAATAATTAGACTTATTGACAAAATATGTATGATAAATCAAGTAGGAAATCTAACTGACTTGTCTGTCGATAAACAAAATTAATTAATGATTTGACTAAGAAATAACCATTTGTAATTTTTTCAATATTGATTTTCTACGCTAAATTACCGTGTGCTAAGACATAAGGACATTTCTGGTGGAAAAACCACAATTTTAGTAAATAAAACCAAAATATACTATATTTAAATCATTCATTTGATAATTTTTCCGTTCTTTTTGTAGCGGTTTACTGAAAATTCCAGTTTTCCAAATTATAGCCCTTTTTACCACACATTCAGTAAAAAATGCAAAACTGAAAAGAAAATTTAGTTTTTATGCCATGTTTAAAGTATCATAATAAAATTATAAAATTTTACCACATTTACCGAATTTTATCGCGTGATATATAAGCATATTTTAAAGTCAATTTCATCAAAATCATTATTAAAGCTCTTCAGTCAAAATTTCAAAACTTTTTGTTGTAGTTTTCTTGTAGTTTTGACAATAATTTTTTCTCAGCGAGTTTGTCGATTGTAGAAAAAAAATTGGTGAACATATTAAAGCAGTTTTTCGAAGGCTTTGTCATAATTTGAAATAACACTCTTTTGTGAATAATAGGTAATTTTCGTAATTGTTATGAGTTTATCGCAGTAATTTAAGACAGTTAACTTAATCTAAATCAATCATTAGCCAGCGCCCTCTATGCCAGTTCTGAAAATGTCCAAACCTTCAATATGAAGAGAAGACAGTTTCGTGGATAGCGTTTGTGGTCTAATTTTTTAATATTTAAAAAGTTTCCCCAACTTGCATTTTTAGTGCTCGCAATAAATTTGCAAAACTTAAGTAATATTCATTGATTTTTTAATAATTTTTATCTAGGAGACGAAATATAACAGATATTAATAATATATAAAATAGTTAAGCTATCTATCTATTCGTTCTAAAGTACAGGCAAGATGGTATATATTCTTTTTAATTATAATTTTGGAACAAGTTTAAATCACTTAAACAGATACTTTTTCCCTTTTCCTTGATGAAATAGCTTCGAAAAACGGTGTTAAAGAACGCGTGAACACTCGCATACCATACAGAATTATCTCTACACTTTCAGAGCCCTCAGTATTTCTTATGAGACCCCTTATTTACTCTTAGATTTGCACTTTAGTTACTAAAATATATTGTATTATTTGGTTATTTGTAATTTTTTCAGAATTTCATTCCTATAAGAATAACCAACAACTTAGAAAGCCTTTTATTCGGTTTAATGAAGTTTTATTAGTTTTTTATTTTCAAATTTTGGATTTTTGTTCAAATTTTATCGTTGTCTATTGGGTTTAAGGAATTATCAGTAGGGAATTTTGTATTTAATATGTTTTATATTAAAAGTATTTTGAACTTAATTTTTTTTAATGAATTTTATTTTTTTACTCCATGGCAGAAATTTGAATTAGTCGTTTTTTACACGGGGCTTCAAAAGTATAGTGACCACTAAATTCGAGATCTGTGCGTAAGTGCTAGGCTATTAAATGGTTCATTCAAAAAGAAAACACAATTTTTAAAATTTCAATCCTAAAATTAATTTTGCAAACAAATCTAAATTTTTACAATAATTTTTATAATATCAATTTTTAAATGTGAATAGTATGGGACCTTTTAGAATCTTAGCTATTGGTATGTATCCCACTCTTATGACGGCTCTGATGCCATCTAAAAAGTAAGAGAATTGAATTGTGCTAATGAATGGCATATCCAATACTTTTTTTAATGATTTTTTGATTAAGATATTCTACACTGCAATCACTTCCGGACCAAATTACTGCAAAAAGTACCGGCACTTAGTTTGCAGGTGTTTTTACGGAACATGTTACGGAACAAAAACTCTGGTAAACAATAATTTTCCCAGTAATAATTACCGTGAAATCACTGAATCACTCAAATAAATAGTACTAAAAAATTGCAGTGTAATATAATAAGAATGGATTTTACTGTAAGATAAATTTTGTGAGAAAGTACCAGGACCCTAAGTACGAGCACTTTATTCCGTAATTAGATACGCAATTTTTTACCTTGCAACTCGTGATATGCATTCTAAACAAAGATAACAAATAGCAAAATCAGCTTAGAATACATGAAAACCAATTTTCATTAATAGTTTCTGAGAAAATTAGTATTAGTATAAATACAATAAATTTAAAATTACCAATTACTAACCAGGTTGAAAAACAATAAGACTGTCATCTGTATTTGGTCTTTCGTGGTAATCAATTGCTGCTTTGGCAGTCATTTGGCGAGTGTAACAACGGACAGCAGCAGGATGCTTCAAGTCACCTGTTCTGATGACCATAGTGTTTAGTCGGCTGTCATTTTCAAATACAACATACTCAGAATCTTTAAACTGAAATTTTGGCACTGAAATGAATAAAAAAAATATATATTTTTCTTACAATAATAATCACATTTATTTATTACATTTTTCAGGAAAACGACTTTCCTTAATAACCAAAGTCAAAATTCTCAATGGTCCCGTCAAAACATTTTGATGGTTAGTGGAAAAAGTTAACTTTTGATATTACTGTAAAATTTTGAATTCGTATTCTATATTCATTGTTTTAATTGAATACTTTGACTATAAATAATTTTGTGTAAAATTAATCAAGACATAAAATATTATTTATTTAAATATAAATGTGACTTTTATTATATGTTTAATAACTGAAAAATGCTAAATTATCTCTTCGTGAAAAATTGTTAAATATTTATAATTATTAAATTGTTAATATTTTTTATCCATCCATTAAACATTGAATGATGTATTTCGCTCTTTTTTTGACAGATAGCAAAGAAATGGAATCATCAGAAAATAATGCATTTTAATATACTTAACTGTTTCCGAAACAGAACTTAATGAAAATAATTTCTTGAATTGTCTAAAAATGCATAATTGTTAATCGCCATTATTCTCACTAAATCTGCAAATTAACAGAACTGGAGACTGTTGGTTTTCAATAAAAATAATTCAAACTCACGACTATCAGATCTTTTCGGTTTCCTTAAATCGTTTTTTTATTATTTTCAATTTAAAAACTGCTCTTTGCAAGTCAAAAATTACGGTTAATTGCCAATATTTTGTTGGGACCACGTTGATAAATTTTTGAGTATATATCCATTAATGCAAGATAAAAGGAAAAATAATTACATAAATTACGAAAATTACAATGTCATTCCATTATATCTTTATTTAATTGATAATCGAACGATAATAAATATTTTGAGTATATTTTTGCCATATAAGCGATAATATATTTAGAAGCTGATTTATAAAAATATTTGTATATTATAAGCCAAATTCAAACATTAAATTTAAAGTTTTTATTTATATCTCTATTTATGTCAAATATTTAAAACTAATGCATAATATGAGTGTTATCTGAAATCAAAGTAAATAAAAGCAAATTTTATCAAAATTTTTCTGTTTTGCTATGAATCAATGCATACATTTTGCAAAAATAAGCTAGAGACTATTACTATTTTAAAATAAGGGCTCATACTTTTAAATCATCGTATATTATAAATGGCGAATTTTCGAAAAGTTGGTAAACAAATAGTATAGGTTCATGTAGATAACAAATGAAAAGTTGCCTTTTCGTAGCCTAATTATATTCTTCTTTTAGTTCGTAAGATAGCTGAAAAATTCAAATGAGTACATTTTACAGTTTACAATGTATAGTTTCTTACAATTGTGCTTAATTCTGATACCTAAACTTTGGAATATATATAAATTTTCTTTAAAAAAAATTGAAGCATGCGTTAAACACCTTGTGCATGGTTAAATATCTCCTAAGTAACATCTACATGTATGCATTCAAACACCTTCGAGTCTTCTTTGTAACTTATTGTTAAAAAAAAGTTAAAAATTTTTCAATAATACCCATCTTTAAATAAAGCTATGCTAAAAAAAAGGTAGAGGACATTAAAATTTGCTTTTCGTTTGTGATGTAAAAAACCAATTCAGTTATCGATTTATTATAAATAAGAAATAAATAAATAAATAAAATAATTATAAATGAACAAAAGTATTTACAGTCTGAAGAAGAGTCGTTAATAAAGACGGTAGCTTTATCAGGAGCTCCTAATACAGCATTCATAGGCATTCGCAAAACCAGTTCAAATGATTCTGGACCTTCCAAATGTGGTTGTCCCAAATCGTCAAGAATGGTCACACGAAAGGTTTGCATTGTTGTACCAGGGGTGAACTCGATCGTTTTTCCAATACCAATATAGTCTTGCCCAGCTGAAAAATTATTATTAAAAATATATTATACATAGCATGCCAACTATTAATATATGTTTTCTTCGCAATAACTACCCTAAATTTAAAATCTTTCTCACAAATAAAATAAATAAAAAGCATGCACGTTAGGTGTTGCATGTTTATGTTTAAAGAGAAGAAGAACAAACATGCAATCGAAATCTGTCGAATCACAACACTAGAAAGGAAGGCGAAACTAAAAACCTCAAACCTGTTTGATTGACCGATGAAACAGAGAAGACTTAAATGGGGTATATTGAAACACACTTCCAAGTTTTATTAGTCAATTAAATAGTTCTGACTTTCACTACCTTCATTCACAGTTTTCACTCAAAAGATTTCGATATAATTTTTATTTCCTCCTTGATTTAATACTAATTTGCGTCTTTTTTTCTCATATTTTTTATCTTTTTCATATTACTCATATTTAACATATATATCATTCCTTTTTACTCATATTTTTCATTTTACTCATATTTTTCATATTTTCACTGCACTGAAGTGGGAGACCTCTCTCTACTCCACCAAATGAAGGAAGACTGGTGGAGAGCGGGAGATTTTAAACATTTTTAACCATCATCATTTAAATTTACAAAAAAAAAAGAAAAATTTGATGCCGGATATTTACTACTGGTCTACACGGCAGTATCCATCTAAACCTGGTAAAATACAAAGCCTCATCCAATCAGAATCTGTAAACAAGAGCGAGTAGTATTTAAGACTCTGTATAGATTTTTATTTTCAGACAAAATTATGCCAAAAGAAAATTATGTCACTCTTTTTTTTCAAAAGAAGTTTAGTATTATATACTGAGTTTTTTCAGATTGTTGATAAATATCTTTGTATTTTCATAATTTTGATTAATATAGTTTTAGAACATCATTTAAATTGCATGTTATTAGTTCAAACAATAATAAAATTTAATTTTGTAATTTGTGTAAAAAGGTACAGTCAAATAACAATCTTTTATCAAAAGTATATCAATAATTTAAAAAAAAAAATTCTAGACAAAACTAAAAATTTAAAAACACGAAAGAAAAGGTTTCGAATTGTTACTTTTGAATAATTTTTTGCACCGTTCTTAATGTCTATAGTTTGTTTACAGTACTTTTTTTATATCACTTACATCATGGTTTGAAAATTATAGCTTAATATTAATGAAGTGAGTTGAACGTTGGTTGTGTTTTTCTGCTAAGATTTCGATAGTGTATAAAATAAGATATTCTATTGATTTTAAACTGCGAATTTGTGTTTTTAACGTTTCTTATCGTCTTACTACGATTCTAGTGATAGTTTTGTGATGGTGTTGTGTTCTTTGAGTAAGAAATTGTAAATCTCTGCTGACTTGCAACTATCGGGAAGATGGCGGCAATGGCGGCCGTATAGAGCAGCAAGGTAAATAAGCACTTAATTTGATAGGATTGCTGTTGTCTCTCGTGGATTTGTGTTTTACTACGAGTACGAAAGTCGCTTATTGCGATTGCTAGGATCTGCTGCGGATTTTTGTGTTCTACCTGCATCTTGATATACATCGAGTGACTTGTTGCTAATTACAAAGTTTAGCGTACTTCTGATTGGATTTATCAACTAGTGCAGCCCTGATGGATGTGATTATGGCCTAATTAATTTACGGTAATGTGTGATTCTCTGCATATTTTAATTTAA